TTTTATTAATAATTCATTTCAAAGAGGTATTAAATAGGTCAACTTTTGACAGCTGTTATTCGCAAAAAGTAGTAACAGTATGTCACAGGAAATTCCAATCAAACAGCCTACTTCATCTGAGTAGAGCCTACTTTTAAACTGAGTAGAAACACGTAATTATGATTTCATATTATGACAAAGGTTAACGTCGACTTTTTTTCCTTTACGTTCGCAGTGGAACATAGGGCTTCAAGCTAGAGGCTTGAAGTTTCAGTAGCAGTGGTGTTTATTTTTATGGGATGGGGCTGCAAGCCTTAGGCCCAACCTTCCATATTTCCTAGTCTTACTACTAGCTTAACGAGGTAAAGGAGTGCGACGGCTGAGGATGGAACCCCGAACCACATGAGGCGTGGTTGGCGAGCATTCTACCGCTGTGCCACTGACGCAATGTCAACACAGAATATAGAAGAAAAAAACCAATCTCCACGTTCTACTGTATAGCCAACAAAACTTTGCTGAGACACGTGCTATCACAAAACGTTCCAAAGGTAGGAAAAAGACGATTATTGTTCAATATTTTAGCGGTTCCATTAAACGATAATACCATCAAAACTCAAATTTACCTCAACAGTGCCGTGAGGCAGCTAAAAAGGCAATGTGTGTTTCTAAATACAAGACAATTACTGTAGGACAAAATCAGTTAACCAAAGTTCAACTGTTAAAAGTACCTTAGAATCGAGGGGAATATTTCCAACGAGGTGGGTTCAAAAGCACTGTCCACAAGAATCACATAGCAATGCTTCCCACTTCCCCACTCAGAATCACCTCCATTCACTCAAACAAACTCATATCTTTAAACAACACATTGTCAATGTAGGCACAACCACAATGAGAAGTTTTACAATTAGAGATTAAACAAGGACATAGGCAAATAATAATGGCCAAAATGAACATATGGAAAGCAAATATCAAATTATTGATATACAGCCTAGGCGAAAATGTATAGTATTCACTATATTAGTTGAAATGTCTAAATAAATGTGTATATTATAAACAGATCGTCTAGGAGGGATTTTCCAAACAAACTATCCATTACAATATACTTCAGAGCATTACTTTACATGTAAATCCAGTATGAAGACGAAATATTTTGGAACTAAATATGCTAAAAAATTCTGTACTACGTGTTCGCATTGTCTGAAATAAAGCCTTATTATTGTTATTAAAATTGATCTTCTTCAAGACAGAGCTTTTAACGACGTACCGAATAACATCTTTAGCAGTGTCTAGGAAAAATAATTAAAATAATGTGGTAAAAAAACGCAAATCAGAACGACCACATTTTATAAAGGTAGCGAAAACAAATCTCGGTAGTTAATTCTTAGTTATGAAAAACAATGCTCAAATGGCATAATTAAAGTGTATGAAAGTATTTGCTAGACTAGTGAAAAATAGGCTTTTTTAAATAACGTATTTTCAATTTAACCGCGTCATTTTAGCGGACATTCTTCAGTTGAATAAAACAAATATGTGGATGTTTGTCGTTTAGAACACAAATGTCGTTCAATTAGGCAGACAGATTACTCATAGAAAAAAAAACAGGTTACTACCTCATTTAGAAAAACTTTACCTTGCAGCTATGAAAATCATTTCATCACCAATTTTCACCCTAGTTTACACGTTAAATTAAATATTTGAATTTTTTTGGAGAAAATTTTCATCACAGTAATAAGTAATCTGATGAAAAAATAGTTGGATTTTAGATTTCCTCTCTACGCCTTTAGTCAAATGTCCAAATTGTTTAAATTCAATTAGCTCCAAGGTAAATTATTTTAAAAAATGACATTTCCCACAACTCTGTTGTGAATAACTTTATATAAACCTAAAATATGAGGTAAAAGAAAGAGTTGCTGTATGTTAATACCAATAAAGGGTATAAAAATGGCAGTCAGTTTTCTGCGAAAACCTTCTAAATCATATAGGAATAGTACAGAATTAGCAATGCGTGCTGAGATTGTTACACAAATTTGATTTTTAATTACTTGTCTTGAGATTTTAGTGTCATTTTATTATAATTTTTAGGCATAAGAAAGCAGCAATAGTCATCAGCGTTAATGTCAGCCTTAAATTCAAAATGGATTTATCTATCATGTGATTAAAACAACTGTATTTAAAAGCAACTTTAAAATAAATTTTGTGCGCCGGTGCCACAGTGGTTCGGGTTCCGATCCCCGGTAGACGCACTCCTTTACCTCAATAAGCCAGTAATAAGATTGGTAAAGAGGGAAGGTTGGGCATGAGGATAAAAACCTTATCTCGTAAAAATAAATATCACCGCTACCAAAACTTCAAGTCTCTAGCTTAAAGCCCTATGTTGCAGTGGGAACGTATAGGAATAAAATAAAATAATAAATAAAATTAAAATAAATTGTAGAGAAAAATAAGTTTAGTGTTTCTTTTCCATAGAGCTAGCTGGACTGACCACTGTTTTGGAAAAGATAGTGAACAACCTATTTTATACCTGATCAGACGACAGGAGTGTCAACTTTTAATCTAAAGAAGGAGACTCATATTTTTTGATGTTATTTTGTTTTGTTTTGTGTTCCGAGTAGAATGTAGGGCTTCAGGCTTGGTGTTTCAGTAGCAGTGATGTGTTTGCGGTGTAAGACTGCATGCCCCACGGCCAACCTTATCCTTTTTCCAGGCTCACTTCTGACTGGTAAACTGGGCGAGGTTTAAGACTGTTCTCTTCAGGAATGGGACCAGAGAAGTAGACAGATCAGTGTGGCTTAGTTTTGTCTAATTCTATTTTTTAATTTAAATAGATCATTAGAGGGAAGGAGATCCTGGGGCCCTTACTGTTTTAATTTTTTCAGATAATAAAACGACTCATAACCTTTGTGGTCAAACATATCTGCTGAAAAGAATTCTCATACTCACAGAATGTGAGAAAAAACGCAGTTGTAGGTACAATCCATTTACTGCTTCAATGAAAATTATTCATAAATACTTCATTTAGACCATAAGATCGAGAGATATTTTCCCGATTTTAATGGCTTGTCATTGTGATTACTTAGACAGTTTATAATAAGTCCTTGTACACCTCTGATAAGCAACACACCAATTAGTTGAGGACGAAAATACGAATAAATGTAGGAACGTGCTGAAGTGAAGAACCGGCTACAATTTTTAAGGCAAAAGAATGGAAGGAACAGCTGAAAATTCTAATGTGGTTACACAATAATTATTTATCGTGGCTATACCATTATTCTATGAGTGAATAGATTTGGGAGATGTAAACCAGTCACGTTTTACTAACTAATACCAATTTTGAGCATTACCCATACGTAGCTTTTTCAATTTTATTACTTAAATATGTAAGCGCATAAATTTCGACAGTTTTAAAGTAACTTTAAGAGTTTCATAAATGAATAAATGATAGAGTATTCAACTAGTGGGTAATACCTAGGCATAAAATAACATGTGTGTTGACAACTGTCAACTGTTGAAGATAATGGTAATTTATTTATTCCTACAGTTATTCTACAACAGGCTTCATTTTACACTGTGCTATGAATTCAAAACCATATCAACTTTAGAAGAAAACAAAGACGTTGACTTCTTCCCAATTACAAATAAGCGAATTGTTTATCATATCACATAACTTTAACCTTATTGTTTGGCCATCTACACAGCGTTTTATGTAGTTGACGTATGTATGTATAATTATCTCATTATCATTATCTCCTTTAGCTCCTAGCGGAACATAAGGCTTCAGCTGCACCTCTCCATTACTTTCCGTTCTCCACCAACGTTTCCACATAGCTCCATCTTTGCCCACATGTTTCCATCTCCTCTTCGCATTACCTCCTCCATGTCATCCTTGCACTGACATTCGGGTTCCACTCGAGCAATTTCCTGTCTTGTGACGTCACTTGATGGTTTGTTTTCTCAGAGTATAGCCAATCCACCTCCATTTATTCCCACATTTTGTTGCACAGTTGGTTCCTGCTGGGTTGGTTGGTTCGCTCTCAGAGATTCCTGTCGCTGATCATTTCTGATCGGGCATCTGATCTTGAGTGGTATTGAGTGAAGACAGCTGTTGATGAAAGTCTGTTGTTCGTTCGAAATACGCTTCGTGACACGCCAAGTCTCTGATCCGTATAGTAAGTAGCACTGACTTCAGATTGCAGTTGAAAATCTGGGTCTCATTTTTCATGATGAGTGCTGCTGATCTCCACACAGACTTGAGAGGGATGAAAGCTTGCCTTGCTTTCCCAATCCTTGCCTTGATATCCTCATCAATTCCGTCCTGCCTGTAGTTGAAACGATGCTTCTCAAGTAGGTTTTAAATGAGGTTAATTCTTTCATATTTCTGCCATTTATGCTGATTGTTTTCGGTTGTTGTTGCTGTCGCTGTTGCTGTCAGCCAGGAATCTTCATCACCTCTGTTTTCTCTATGTTCACCTGAATCCCTATCTTTGATGCTTCTTCTGCCAACTTGTTGCTTTTCACTTGCATATCTTCCAGTTGGTGGGAAATCAGACATATATATCATAGGCGAAATCGATATCCTCCAAGTGTTTTTTTGTGGGTTCATTTTATGCCTGTCTCCTCGTTGCCCGCTGTCTGTCACATTATCCAGTCTACTGCAATCAGTATGTATGCACGCTTTATAATATATGGAATAAAAACCCACATTTTGATTCAAATGAAGCTTTTAGTGGATTTTATACACTCAAAATACCTCATTAAAGAGTACAGGCTTAAAATTTCCTACAAAAATAAGAAAAAACATGTCTATTTAAACTTATTTACTTTTAAAATAAAAACGTGGATGGACATCGAAACAAATAATTGACAGGTTCATTTATTATAAATCCAATAATCAGCCAATTGAAATCAACGCCACATTATGTATGCATTCCTAGTAGAAGCACAGGTGAAACACACCTTATTGGTCAGAGATTTTTAAGTACATAAATAATTCATTTGTGTTCATATTAGTTAAAGTGATAAAACAAAATATTCCCCATAAAGAAGCTTTAAAATGGCAACAGGAAAAAAAGACAATCATCATGTCAATACTGACTTCAATGCATAATAAATCTAAAAACGAAGAGCACAACGAACACAAATTTGATCATTTGTAAATGAACAACCATTAAAAGAAAGAAATAAAAAGCGAAATATATACAATGATTGTGATAACATTATTGCTTTTAAGTAAGTTCAATAATTGAATTTTGATCAACTGAAAGTTGAACAGACTTTAAAAAAGTTTATATTTGTTTGCATGATTTCCACGTATGATGTGTTCAATAAAATTGTTTATATCACTTTATATAAATGTTGTTAGTTATCTTACCATCATGAATAGCAATGGTTAGCATACGATCAGTAAACAATGCAGTCTTTATTTTGATTTAGTTTATTAGGGCATTAATATTTCTTGTTTTGAGTTAGTGGTTCAGTGTTAGAATAGTCGCCAGCCAAGTACGTGATCCGGATTTGATTCCCAGTTCCAGTGAAAGTTAGTAGGTTTTAAAATTAGTGACTTTACTTTCATTTCTGATTGTGAAACTTTGTAGTTCACTGAAAATCTTATAGGATCCGGCATCAAATGAATTGTACCTAGAGATTATTTAAATCTCAGCGCTAGATTTAAATTCTGTTTCTATCTAATATTATGTTAGCTGATTGCACTACAGTTGGGTGACTGGGTTTCCGTGTGTATACTTTACCTAAACTGCATAATTTTCTTCTAAAAGTGGAAATTATTTCTGTTTACAAATAACACCTTTGACTTCATTCGTCTGACTGCTGAACTAAGTTAACATTTTTAAAAGCCGCTTTCTATTTCAATACTAAGTATAGATATGATGTAGAATATAGTTGCTAGATGGTTGGAGACAATCGGCAGGAAGCCTCTGTGGGACCCAGGTTTCATGCTTGTCAGCAAGACGTATCTGCAGTCTTCAAGGAACTCATATCCTCTATGAGATTCTAACCCATATTACACAATGCTGCAGTCAGAGATTTTAACACTGAGCTACTCAGGTTAGCGATTGACCACCAACAGGACTGTAATGGATTCTTTCATGGGACACAAGGTGGTAACTTATGTCATGCACCTACTCCTTCGGTTGGTGCAAACTGAATTCTTTCACTATGCTCAGCGCCTCGCCAATCACAGTGTATTAATAGAATAGACAAATAAAGTTCAGTCTACACCATAAGGCGTAAGACATTAGTTATGGCCTAGTGTCCTATCAGTGCACCCATTATTGTAGTAAATCAGATCAGTCCTGAGCCCGAATAGTCTGATGGTAATGTCTTTAACTAAAGTACTGGATTACCCATGCTCGAATCTCAGAAGGGACATGAATATCTTCAAGACTGCAGATTTGCCTTGTTGATGAGTGCCGACATGTACGAAACCTTGGTACATGGCTTCCTTATGATTGCCTCCAGCCATCTAACAACAACCCAGAGTGCACAGTGGCCACATTGTAGACTTTTCTGATAAAATGTGGTCTGTATCGAACGGAAGACCGGATAAACGACATTAGTTGCTGTCTATTATTCAGTCAAAGCAGAGAATGTTGTTTTAAAAACTGAATGCATTAAAATATCTGCCTACTTATGAAACCCTGTAAAAATATCAAAAGATGTTCACTGTTTCGCATTTGAGTCAACAGCTTGATTCTTCAACATATACAGTAATGTTTCCTTGCAGGATATATTCCTTTGTAAGTTATACTTATGTGAAGACGGAAAGTAAGAAGCAATGAAGTTTGAGACGTTTTGTGTTGAAGTGCCGTTCTAAAGATACATGTTTTAATTTCTAATCCACTTAACTAACTACCGGCTGTGAATGTGATAATGTATTATGAAACTTTTTTCTACACCAGATGCTTAAATGAAATTGTGTAGTATTCAGCTTCTTCAACACACTCTGTATAATTTAAATTGTTATACAAGATAAACAATTCTTGTGGTTATATCAGCAAATGCTTGTTTTATTGATTGGAGGATTTCATCGTGTGCTAACATTGGTTAGAGAACCAATGGAAAACCTTCAGGGAGTAGTGGACATCTGTTTCGTTCTAGTTTGGGGCTCTCCAGCAGTACGCAGTCACCAGGTCTCGAACCCGGGACCTTCTGATTACGAGGGGAGATCGTAGACAGTCAAGCATAGTGCACACTGATGAAGAGTCCAAAACCAGGACGAAACATCTGGCTCTTCAGTACTCACAGGTTTTCCAATGGTACTCGAACTGATGTTAACTAATTATGAAATCCTCCAACCAATTAAACAAAATCCCTACAAATCAAGACTTGAAAATGCTAGTTTTCCATAGGAAATATTACATTGCATTCTAATCTGAACACAATCATCACTAGCACTGTTCACTAAGCCTGTAGACAAGGTTATCTAGTGAGTGGTGACTATCAGTGGAATCCAGGAGGTGTATATCGTTCTATTTATGACTCATCACCTGAGTGTACCTGCAGTTTTCCGTGAGTGACAATGTTCCCAGTGAAACTCGAAACCTTATACCCAAAGCGTTATCCACTAAACCACTTGGGTCATGACAGCCAACTTCTGTATAGTGGGTATGATTTATTCTTTGTTTAAACCAGTTTTGTTTTTCCCGCTGACAAACTGGAACAAAATGTTCTTCAGTATACAGCCAATTAATAAATCCACTTTTTTAATCTGATAATTTGTAAACTTTTCTAAATTTGGTAGCCATTAATAGTTTAAGCATGGCATAACACCTTTACTTTGGTGTTTGTTTATCTAAACTTCAGTTATCACCTTGAAACAAATACAGTCAGTGATTGGTAATTTGAGATAGGTATTGACGTCCAACTTTTATTCAGTCAAATGCTCAGCATATCTGATTCAGACTATTTTGCTTTATATAATAACGATTTTATCGAGGGAAAAGTCTTTTTATTATGTTTGACAGTGTTATTTTTATGATAAAATTAATCCAGTTTGTTGTAACCTGTCAAGTAATGAAGAACCGGACCAACAGAACAAAGTCAGAACGGCAAACATTTGACATTCACTGTGCTGAGAACAAGACCCCACTGTGAATGTGAACATATCACCGAGACACGGAATTTTTTTAACATCAATATTCATTCAAAATCATGACTTAAGTTTTAAGGGTTTACATTTACACGAAGTTTTAACATAATAGAATTTTCATGTATTGGTTTGTAAGGATTTTGTTTGATTGGCTGGAGGATTTCATCATGAGCTGACATCGGTTAGAGAAAAAACGGAAAACCTGTGGGCAGTACTGAACTGCTATTTCGTCCTGGTTTGGAACTCTTCATTAATACGCATCCGCTGGGGTTCGAACCCACGATCTCATGATGAAATCCTCCAACTAATCAAAAATATCTACAGACCAATACTTGAAAATTGATGTGGTGCTCACTAGTGACTGGCCTAATTCAGGTAGTTACCTGGGGTTCTAGCAGGAAGTCGTGACCATTAGGGTACAGCAGGTTGAAGGTGGGGAAAGTTGCTCACCGAAGACATTGCTAAGTGATCACGCTATTCCATGAACTGGCAAAAGTAATAATAGTATTTTTTATTATCTTGGGAAAAAGTATCTTCAGGAATGAGTGGTGCTCATGTACCTGGTTTTAACCTTTTACATAATTGGAAAAGATCTCAATGCGATGACATTTTGCTTAGGTGAGAAAAAGTATGTATGTATCATTCAGTATGTTATTTTATTGAACCACAGAACAAATGAATTATATACATTGCGTAGACGTAGAAATACATCGGGAAGTCTGTGACGTAGAATTTTTCCGATTATAAGCTGTTGTCAGTAAGGCATATCAGCATTCTGCAAAGAATTTACATCTATTCAGATATTTGTGCCTGAACCACACAGCTCTTCGAACTGTAATCCCTCTGTCACAATGCTGGAGTAGATGTTGTGAGTTATCGCTATAGGGGTAGCTGACTTCAATTCAGAGTGCACTGACTATTCTGTTTTAAGGAATACATTGCAAACTTGAAGCTTGATCATGGACTGATATCATTTAAAGAACCATTGGAAAACCTTGGAGTACTGAACAGCCGTTTTGTCCTAGTTTGAGACTCATTTTTAGTGCGCATCCACGGGGCTTCGAAGTCAGTACCTTCTGGTTACAAGGCAAACTCAGAGATCATTCAGCCACTGGGATCCAACTCACTGGCCCATGAGTTCCAACTGTTACCGATTTGTGATTTTAGCGCCACCACCAGCCAATGTCAACCGCTGCGAGTGTTTATCTTCACTCCTTACCGAGTAGGCCCCACTGGTCCCCACTTCTCACTAGAACTCCAAGCAACTTTGTGTTGCAGCCAGTCACTAGCGAGCAACAGATAATTATTCAAAAATTTGTTTGTAGTGACATTAATTAAGTTCAGCGACAACATTGAAACCTCCAGAAGATATTTCTAATGAACTCGATAAATTACAAGGAAAGTGGTGTTTTACATGCCTAGTGTCAGCAATACCCAGTTTCTTTTGCTAAATAAATTTATATGGTTCTAAATAATATTATGTTATCGGTCACTTTAGTTTGTCAGTAAATACCAATAGTCCTATTATTGCTATAGATAATGTTATAGCCAACCTTTCTGTTTCACCTTTTATCGCTATTTCTTTCAAAAGAAGCCTTTCACTTTCACTACCGAAAAGCATAAGTATTATACCAGGAAGCTGTTGATGAGACTAGATGAGATTATGTCATATAAAATAAGGCCAGTCTATATAAAGTGGCAAAGAGCTCAAAAAGATGAAATGTCCACCTTCCGCTTTTTCCTTTCACTTCTTATATCATCAAAGTTATTTCACTCTGACAATCTTTTTGGATATGAGATTGTTTATGGAAAGCTGTTTATGGTACTTCTTTGAACAATAATGAACACAAGATTTCTTTTTTCAGTGAAACGTCAGTCTCCACACATTTCGTTAAAAAATGTTTCAGCTATGTTTTTCAACGGAATTCGGCCCTTACTTCTGATGAATAGAATTTAAAGTGTCAAGGAACCTTATTATAAAACAATGTCTTAAACGGAGAAGTCATTAAGTAAAAAATCTCTGCCCAGATATGTTGTCTAGCTATGAGTTTGTCAGTGCTCCAGGTAACGAATAAGAATATATTTTAGGTAGACATTTCGATTCATAATTTACTTATAATCT